ATAGTCACGCCACTTTGTTACGAGATACCGTGCGTCCATAAAGAATCCTGACTATGGCTTCTCGCAGGTTTAATGTTTCACCGCTATGTTTTGTCGCAAACTCCTTTATAGCGTATCGTTCAGAAAGGCGGCGACGAACAACTTGGCAACGTGATATCATTTACATAGCGATGAATAATCGACCTTAAAACCGTTTCTTAATTGATAAATTTTATATATTTTCATCAATTATTCGTCCTCTAAGTTATAACTTCCTTTCAATTTTGCCATTAAGTTGTAACATCCTTTTAATTTTTTTTTCTTTAAGTTGTAATCTCCTTTCAATTCTTCCTTTTAGTTAATTATCAACAATTCTTCCCTTATGTTAACTTCTATCAATTTTTCGTAATTGTTTTAAAATTTTTTGCAATTTATAAAAGTTTCAATTAAAAATTTTGACATTAGTTAAATTTTAGTGAATTGAAAATTGAAATTTTGAAAATTAATTCAAGTGGCAAGAATTTAATTCAAAAGTTTAAAAAATTAGTTTTCTTGAAAAGTTCAAGAGGAAAGGAGAAAGATAGAGAAAGAGAAAAAAATAGAAAAAAGGCGATAGAGAGGGAGAGAACAAAGGAGGAAGATGAAGATAGAGAAAAAAATAGAAAAAGGTGATAGAGAGAGGGGGAAAAATAGAAAAAGGAGAAAAAATAGAAGAATGGAGAAAGATAAAGAAAGAGAATAAAATAGAAAAAGGTGATAGAGACGGAGGGAAAAAATAGAAAAAGGAGGAAGATAAAGACAGAAAAAATAGAAAAAATGCGAAAAATAAAAAAAGGAGAAAGACAGAAAGAGAAAAAATAGAAGAATGGAGAAAGATAAAGAGAGAGAAAAAAATAGAAAAAGAAGAAGAATAAAAAGAGAAAAAAAAGAAAAACAGAAAAAAATAGGAGGAAAGAGAAAGACAGAGAAACAAGGAAAAGAAGGAGAAGAAGAGAATAACAAGGAAAACGAAAGAGAAAGAGAGAGAGAGTGATAGTCCATAAGAATTGAAACGGTATAGGGCATATCGAATAAAAAGCTTTTTTCTCCCCCACTCCTTTGATATATTCTCTCCTCTCTCTCTCCCTCTCCTTCAGAAATGACTGCGATGTCGATTAAACTCGCAGGACAAGCGAGACCGAACCCGTTTTGTATATCGGTATCCAGAGAACGAGAGAGATTTCTCTCGAGGGATTTCATCGCGTTGGAAAGTGGATGGGACAACTTTTAATTACAACCGCCATTATTTGCGCGAGATTATGTATTTAATGCGGCTAGGGGACGTTCATTTCGAGGGGGATCGACCACTATACTTTTGCGTTAGTGCGTATCTCACACTCCACTCGCGCTTATACACGTCCTTAGATTGCACGCGGGAGGATTTTAACACCGTATACTCAATCATATAATAGAAAAATTAAATTTCCATTTCTGTCCCTTTTTTTTTCTCTAAAAGTGAGCATTCAGTGTGAAAAATGTCTTCTGGTCGTTAGTATATGTGTGGAATGGCTCTGTGGATTCAGTGCTGGACTCGTAAGGAGAGCAGGGACTTGGGTTCGATTCTCCCCGATGTGGAGTTTAATTATTAATTCATTTTTGGTTTTTTTAAATGTAAATTAATTTTTTTCTTTTCTTTCTATTTTCTCTTTCTCTCTCTCTTTCTTTCTCTCCTTCTGTCTACTTTTTTCTCCTTTTTTCTGTTTCTACTTCTTTCTCTTTTTCTTCTTTTTTCTTTCTTTTTACTTTTCCTTTCTTTCTACTTCTTTTTCTGATTTCCTCTTTTCTTTCTACTTTTTCCTCTCTTTCTTTTTCTTTTCACTCTCTCTTTATCCTTTCCTTTCTCTTTTTTCAAAAAATAAGAAAAAATTCTCTTTTTTTTAAGAAGAAGAAGAAGAAGAAAGGGAGATTCCTTTTGTCCACACAAATCTTTCCGAGGACTTTTTGACCATTAATAGCCTATATATAAAAAAAAATAAGAATCACCTGCTTCATACCATCATTACAATGGCATTAATCACGATTTCTTTCTCGTTTATTGCCTTTATTACCCCATCACAATCAGTCGATATCAGCGCTCCAGGCTTCCTCTTAATGCATCTCTGTTAATTAACACACTCTCTCTCATATTCACCTGTGGCAAGGTATCGAATATTCTTTCATCAATTTTTCATTATATCGTTTTTTGTAAAATTTCCCCTTGAATTTTATTTTTCAAATAAGTACATCAACTCTTTATTTCTCTTGAATACGACTTTTTGATTTTCAAATACAAAAACACACCTTCGACACGCACTTAAATTTTGTATGCGCAATTTTTTATTGTTGAATTGAGAAATTCGAAATTGGCTCAACTCTGACAATTTTGTAAGAGTCATTTTCACTGTCAATTGTTATTTGAAAATGACTCTTTTGATTTGAAAAGTTGAGCTCATTTCGAAATACACAGATAAATTATTTTTTAATTATTTTGAACAATTTTGAGTTATTATTGGAATTGTTTTGCACAATTATTGAATTCTATTGGAATTTTTTTTAGATGCTTCGAATTATTTTTGAATTTGATATTATTTAGAGTTATTTTTAATTATTTTGAACTATTTAGAATTATTTTGAGTTGTTTAGGTTTATTTTAAATTATTTTTTTTCTTTTTTAAAAAATTTGTAGACTATCAGTGAAAAATTTTCTATTTTTCAGAACAAACAAATTAACGTATTTCATTTTTATTTCTGTTTTCCTTTCTTCTTTTGTTAAATTAAGAAAAATTTTTCAATGAAGGTTAATTTTCGAAAGTAAAGCGAAACATATAGATATATAAATTCAAAACTGATACCACGTAATCGTCATTTCACTACCCTCTCAACTTGTTGTAAAGTCCTAAACCGTTTCTGAAAGCAGGGTAGTAGCGATAATTTAAAACCCTTGGACGATGTCCAGTTTACTACCAAGCATACTCTTTGAATAGTAACTAAGCGCTTTGTTGTACATTTTACATAATTTTGCAGACATTAAACACGCTAATTAGTTGCTTTATTATTTTATTTCTACTTCGTGGCACATTCTTTAAATAAATTATTATTTTTAAGAATTTTTCACTAAAATTTTTCTTTAAATCAATTAATTTTCGAAAAAGCTCTTCGACAATTTTCAAAATTCATTTATTTACAATATTCAATTTTACAAATTTCAATAATTCATAAATTCTTTAATTAAATATATATATATATATATATATATATATATATATATATATATATATATATATATATATATATATTAGAAAATAAAAACTTGAAATAATATAAAAAAATTCAATTATACACTTTTTCAAAAAAAATTAATTTTAAAATTCAATTATTTCTAAAAGTTCACGCTATATTGCATTTAATATTCAATTATAATGTAAAATTTTAACTGAAATTCATTTTTATGAAATGAAAATCAATTTTTATTAGAAAATTCTACGAGAATTCAATTATATTTAAAAACAAAAATAAATAATCTATTGAATAATTGAATGTTTCTTAAAATCGAACTCTCATAAAGAATTTTACCAACAAATTTTTAAATAATTAAAACTTTCACTATTAATTAATCGATTAAAAGAATATTAACAAAATCAAAATTTTTTTGACAAATTTTAAGAAAATTTTTAAGAATAATTTTATTTTTCTAGAAATTAGATTAAAATTGTGTTAAAAATAATTAAATCTCTGTAAAAAATTTGATTGCATTGAGAAAAGTTTTTGAAAATAATTAAAATTTTGCAAAGAATTTAAAAACATTTTTGAAAATTTTTGAAAATAATTGAATTTTGAAGAAGAATTTTATTATTTATAAAGATAATTGAAATTTTGACTAAAATTTTTTTAAACTTTCCACCATAATTGAATTTCTGCGAAGAATTTTGTTACTTTTGAAACTAATTAAATTCTTGTGTTGCGTGTCAACTCACGCATTTAAATCGAAATTGTTGTTTTATTATATTTTTGAATATTCTACAGAAAATAATTTGGAGTCTAAAAATATATTATAAAGCTAAAAGTGGTTTTCCCCATTCTTTTGAAATCAAAGACAGATGCTCGCCAAACTCTCTAAATTTTTCCCAAATATTTTATCTTTATACTGTTTTCTGTTGTTCATACCATAAAATTTATGTATGTTATTTGTGAGCACTCTATCTAATCTTTTCCTTAACGGCCACATTTACAACTTAATCCAAAATTTTTAGATTTTAAAATGCTGCAAAAAATAACATTTTTGTAGCAGCTGCGAAAATACTTAACCTCCATAAAAGTGAAAGTTTGGTTCTCTGTACCTGAAAAATAAGTTCCTGAAACAATTTTCATCCTAAAAAGAGTACGCCCTTCTTTCCCTTACTTTTCCTTATTTTAACCAATTACGTATCGCCAATTTTCTCCCTTCCAAAAAACTTCTACTCTCATTAAAAATCAGTCTTAGTATTAAGTAGTATCATTCGAACAACGCAATAAGAAACACCTTTGTACCAAACTACTTTTTTTCTGACAATAATGAACTAATGTATCCTAAAAGTGTTAAATTAAATAAATTTGTTAATTGAGTGCAAGTCAAATTATTTAAAGTGTTAATCCTTTACTTTTTCTTCCTAATTCTAACTATTGACATAAAGAACTATTTCCGCGTGTCAAGTTTCTCATGGCTTAAATTTTGTATAGTCAAACTGACAGAATTTACAACTCTGTTAGAATCAAAAATTAAGATTGTTAATCCGTGACGAAACATTTTTTGGTCCTTCGAGCCGGATTCTTAGTTAATTTTCGTAAAAACAATTTTATTGTGCAGTGACTTTCGTGTAACAATTGTCAAGTGTGTGGTCACTTCAGTGTTATTTCGTTGTTATCAAAGTGTGACTAGTGTACTCGAATATTCTTAAGTCTATTGTGACTTTTTTCTACTTTCTAAAGTGCTGTTGAGCACAGTTATAACGTGATACGGGATTTCAATGAGTGTACATCATTCTCCCAGAAACAAATCAACCAACAACACAGAATCTTCAGAATCAACTACAGCTGAGGATTCATTTTACATTCCACCACCTCCACCCTTTCCGCCAACGTCTGCTGTTAGAAACACACAACCTAGGAAAACTCTACCACAAAGGTCTAGCTCCAGAGGAATAACAATTACAGCAACCATGCCGGTAAACATCGACAACTTAAAATCAAAGCGAAAAACGTTCAAGTCAAGGTTGACAAGAACAAGCAATTGGCTAAAAAGTGATGAAGCAAAGGACGCTTTGACAGAAACCATTGAATTAAAGCTTACTGATCTTGTGGTAAAATTTTCTGAGTGGGAAGCAGACCAAGCACAGCTGCTTTTTCTTGATCTTGAACATGAAGAGGATCACGAGAAGGAAGCCGACGCAATCACCAACACCTACTTCAATATCGCTGGAGAATTAAAACGTTTTTTAAATCAGAGGACAGGACCGTCTTCTAGTCAAATCACATCTACGATTCGACAAAATAATTCTCCAGATGTCAACAGTCAAGACGGAGGAGCCTCTGCCAAACTTCCAGAAGTTGCACTACCAACCTTTGATGGAAGTTTTGAAAATTTCCGCCGCTTTCACGACGAATATCAGGCAGTCATTCATGGTAATAAAAAATTGCACAACGTAACTAAATTTCAATATTTAAAATCATGTCTACAAGGAGAATCAGCAGATCTGATCAGTGAATTAGAAATTACTGGGGAAAATTATGAGATTGCCTGGAAGTTGTTACAGGATACTTATAATAATCCACGGTTGATCCTACGACGCCATTGTTCGCTGTTGATGTGCCTGTATAAAAAAAAGGATTCGCCGCGTACTCTAATCGACATTGTGAATTCCGTTCGTGCACAATTACGTCCATTGGATACTCTTGGAACAAAAGAAGAACAATACAATGCCTTCCTTGTAACTATAGTTCTCAGTCTCATCAACGACGACATCGCTTTTCAATGGGAAAATAGCCTGGAGGACAATAAGATGCCAAATGTGGAAAAATTACTTGATTTTCTGCAAAAAATTGGATTGAGCAAAAAATCTACTGAAGCCAGTAAAATCTTACAAAAGAAGGAAGACAACAGAAGGCCTGACACAAGGAACAAGGACAAGAATAAGCAACATCAAGCAACCAATAGCCCCAGAAATGCAACACATAGTTTTCATCTCAGTGTACAAAAGAAATGTCCTGTATGTCAAGCCGATCATTCAATCTACAGATGTCCTAAGTTTCAAGAAATGAATCAAGAAAAACGACTTAAGCTGGTGTACAATCAGAGCCGCTGCATCAACTGTTTGGGTCTCGGACATGGTTTACAAACATGTCAATCCAGAAATTGCTCTATCTGTGGAGGTAAGCATCACACATTCCTACATCGCTATCCAGAGAATATCAGCACAAAACCTGCAGTATCATCTTCTTCTACTATCCCATCTGATTGACTATTAACAAGGGCATCTTCTAAATCGATTCAACAAATCTCGCTCAACGTAGATTTCCCAGGTGATGATATTCTTCCCACAGCAGTAATACATATTCTCAATAATTCTCAGCAACTTGTTCCATGCCGGACGCTGCTTGACACTGGATCATCTACAAATTTCATCACCACGGAACTAGCTGATCAACTTCAGCTGGAGAAAATTAAGTGCTCAGTATCGGTGGGTGCCCTTAATGACCTCTCTACAGTCTCGAACTATTATGTGACTGCAACTATTCGTTCTCGATACAATAATTTTGAAAGGACACTCAATTTTCTAGCCATACCGGCAATTTCGTCATCGATTCCAGGTCAACAACTGGATAGGAAGTCCTTTCAGATGCCTCACTCAATTCGTCTACAACTTGCGGATCCAGAATTTCACAAATCTGCACCTGTTCAATTGCTTTTAGGATCTGGATCTTCAATCTCTACACTTGCTGTCGGACAACTCAAAATTTCTGACACTGCTAATCTCATCGCACAGAACACTATGTTAGGATGGACGATTTGTGGAAATATTCATGATACTCATTGTGAAAAATCTCAATGCCATACCACTACCAACATTATCAACGAATTAAAAAGATTTTGGGAAATTGAAGATGGAATTTCCTGTCAAAAACACCTGTCTCCTACCGAAGAAGCATGTGAAAGGCACTTTGTTGATCATGTTTCTCGGACCTCGGAAGGACGGTATATGGTCGCATTACCGTTCAACGAACTGAAAAATCAACTCGGTTCTTCACGCAGTCAAGCTCTACGTCGATTTCTAGCTCTAGAAAGGCGACTCAAATCCAATGTTAATCTGTGGAAAGAATATTGCAAGGTCATCGAGGAATACAAACAACTAGGACATATGAAAAAACTAGAGAATGAAGTTGAAGAAGGCTTCTATCTTCCACATCACGCTGTGATCAAGATGTCCAGCATGACCACCGTAGTACGACCTGTCTTCGATGGATCTACCAAAACCAGCAACGGATGTAGTCTTAACGACATCCTTTTGATTGGACCAACAATTCAAGACGACATCATCGCTCTCCTTCTACGCTTCAGACTTCCCAAGTACGTGTTGACTGGTGACATCGAGAAAATGTATCGGCAAATTCTGGTACGACCTGAAGATAGAAAATTCCAGCGAATCTTCTGGAGAGACCATTCAACAGAAAAGGAACCAACCGTGTATGAACTTCAGACTGTTACTTTCGGTCTATCTCCAGCTCCTTATCTAGCAATTCGTTGTCTTCATCAACTAGCAGATGACGAGAAGATAAATTATCCGCTTGCTTCCAAGATTTTGAAGCAAGATCTTTATGTGGATGATTTATTAACTGGTGCTGATTCTCTTCAAGAAATCATGGACATCCGAGATCAAATGATTGATCTATTACGACAAGGTGGTTTCAATCTTCGCCAGTGTGCATCAAACTCTCCATCTGTGCTTCAAGGACTACCAGATTGTGCGATCAACATCAAACTACTCGGGGGAGACGATTCCCTATTGAAAGCTCTAGGAATACATTGGGATTCTAAAAATGATGTCATCGTCTACACAGTCAACCCTATAGCTACTAAGGACGTGATCACGATGCGAACAATAGCTTCTGATATCGCTCGCATTTTTGATCCTCTGGGATTGTTGAATCCCGTGATTGCTCATGCTAAAATCATTCAGCAGGAACTATGGAGATTAAAATTAGATTGGGATGATTCAGTGCCACAGGAAATTTGCACAAAATGGCAAGATTTCGCTTCTCAACTGACTCTTCTGAATGATTTAAGTTTTCAACGACATGTAAGTGTTTTAAATGCTAAACACATCGAACTTCATGGATTTTCTGATGCGAGTGAACGAGCTTATGGAGCGTGTATCTATCTACTTACTGTGGACATGGATGGAAACAAGAACGTTCAACTCTGGTTTGCCAAGTCAAGAATAACTCCCTTAAAAAGCTCACAGACAATACCACGTCTGGAGTTATGTGCTGCCGAATTATTGTCTGACATCTATACATCTTTGAAAAAAGCAACTGACATCAACCCTGACAAAGTATTTTTCTGGACTGACTCCATGATTGCACTCCAATGGATCCAAAAATCACCACACATGCTTCAAACCTTCGTTGCTAATCGTGTGTCAAAAATCCAACAACGAACAGAAACTCAACAGTGGAGACACATTCGCACCCATGACAATCCAGCAGATGCTATTTCCAGAGGACAATTGCCAATAGATTTCACGAAAAATTTGTTATGGAGAAATGGACCTGAGTGGCTCACCGGGGGAGAAAACACTTGGCCTTACACACCTATCGAGGTAGCTGCTGAAGTTCCTGACGTCAAGAAAACTGTATGCTTGACCTCGTCTACAAAACCAAGGTCATCTCAATCATCTACAAAGGTACCAACATCTGAGAATTTTCTATTGTCTAGATTTTCCTGTTATCGCAAGCTGCGCAGATTTGTGGCCTTGGTATTACGCTGGTTAACTATCTACAAAAAAAGACGGACTGCTGATCATCAACAACTTGGCCAAATTAAAGTGTCCAACCGATGTCTAACTGTTAATGAGCTGGATGCTGCAACAACACGTATTCTATTACTCTCTCAACGTGCAACGTTCTTGGAAGAATTCAAACTGTTAGAAGCCGGAGAGTTTGTATCAAAAACAAGCAAACTTCATCATCTCAATCCATTCATTGACGACAACGGCTTAATTCGAGTTGGTGGACGAGTCGAGAAGGCAAAAACAATCAGCTTCGATGAGAGGCATCCAATCGTTTTGCCACCATTTCATCATGTGACTCGCCTGATCATCACAGCGACTCATCACGACAATTTTCACACTGGTTGTCAGTCAACACTCCATCTCTTGCGAAGAAGATTTTGGCCCATAGACGGACGTCGACAAATACGTCTTATAATCAACAAGTGTATCACTTGTGTCCGATTTAAACCGCCGCCAGTAAATTATCTCATGGGAGATCTTCCAGCCGAACGAGTGATTCAATCCAAACCTTTTGAACATACTGGAGTCGACTACTGTGGTCCACTTTTCATCAAGGAGAAGAAGCACAGAAATCGTGGCAAGGTCAAGGTCTGGGTCTCGATTTTTATCTGTTTCACAACCAAGGCAGTGCATATTGAGGTTGTTGATGACCTCAGTACAGAAGAATTTCTTGCAGCATTCAGCCGTTTCATCTCACGGCATCCTGCTTGCAATTCCATGCACTCGGATAATGGTACCAATTTTGTCGGAGCCAACAACGAACTACAGGAGTTGTTCAATCTTTTGGAAACAGAAGATCATCAAGAGAAAATTCAGCATCATCTGGCTCAGCAACGGATTCAGTGGAATTTTATTCCCCCTCATGCTCCTCATTGTGGTGGACTTTGGGAAGCGGCAGTGAAATCATTCAAGCATCATCTAAGGAGAGTCATAGGCGATCAACTCTTGACTCATCAACAACTGAATACTCTGTGTATCAAAATTGAAGGTATTCTAAATTCCAGACCTCTGACTCCTTTGTCATCGGATCCAAACGATTTAGGTGTGCTCACTCCAGCTCACTTTCTCTATGGAAGTTCAACTCGAGATATTCCAGCTCCAGACTTTTTACACACACCAAGCAATAAACTGGCATACTGGGAACATCTCGAAAAACTCAAGCAAGAATTTTGGTCCAGATGGCACAAAGAATACCTGAGTGAACTCCAGATCCGAAGCAAATGGACTGATGGCAGCCACATGATCAAGGAAGGATCCTTGGTGTTACTTCGAGAAGATAACCTTCCTCCAATGCAGTGGCGAATGGGCCGCATTGTAGAAGTCTTCCCAGCTGACGACAAAATTATCAGAAAGGTCAAGGTAAAGACTTCTACCGGACGTGGAGATTTTCAACGAAATACAATCTTAGAACGTAATGTTAAAAAACTGTGCCTTCTGCCTACTGAATGAATTTCTCAAACTCTAAAATTTGTATTTGTTTAATAATTTCTTTATCCATAACAGTTATTAACATTTTGCTTATATTATCATTATTTTTAATTTCAATTAATTAATACTCTAATAATAATTCTTGAGCACTATTGAAATCTAGCAAACATTTGAATATTAGTTATTTGATCGTATAAACTCTCAAAGGGGGAGCATGTTGCGTGTCAACTCACGCATTTAAATCGAAATTGTTGTTTTATTATATTTTTGAATATTCTACAGAAAATAATTTGGAGTCTAAAAATATATTATAAAGCTAAAAGTGGTTTTCCCCATTCTTTTGAAATCAAAGACAGATGCTCGCCAAACTCTCTAAATTTTTCCCAAATATTTTATCTTTATACTGTTTTCTGTTGTTCATACCATAAAATTTATGTATGTTATTTGTGAGCACTCTATCTAATCTTTTCCTTAACGGCCACATTTACAACTTAATCCAAAATTTTTAGATTTTAAAATGCTGCAAAAAATAACATTTTTGTAGCAGCTGCGAAAATACTTAACCTCCATAAAAGTGAAAGTTTGGTTCTCTGTACCTGAAAAATAAGTTCCTGAAACAATTTTCATCCTAAAAAGAGTACGCCCTTCTTTCCCTTACTTTTCCTTATTTTAACCAATTACGTATCGCCAATTTTCTCCCTTCCAAAAAACTTCTACTCTCATTAAAAATCAGTCTTAGTATTAAGTAGTATCATTCGAACAACGCAATAAGAAACACCTTTGTACCAAACTACTTTTTTTCTGACAATAATGAACTAATGTATCCTAAAAGTGTTAAATTAAATAAATTTGTTAATTGAGTGCAAGTCAAATTATTTAAAGTGTTAATCCTTTACTTTTTCTTCCTAATTCTAACTATTGACATAAAGAACTATTTCCGCGTGTCAAGTTTCTCATGGCTTAAATTTTGTATAGTCAAACTGACAGAATTTACAACTCTGTTAGAATCAAAAATTAAGATTGTTAATCCGTGACGAAACACTTGAGACGAATTTTAATAACATATTTCTTTTTTAAAATAATTGAATTCTTTTGTGAAATTTTATTGAAATAGTAGATATTAAAAATAATTGAATTTTGATAAATTATTGAAATTAATTAAATTTCTACGAAGCATTTTATTAAAATTATTCTTAAAAAAAAGTGAATTGTTAAAAAGAATTTCAGTAAAATTTTTTAAAACAATTTAATTATTTTAAGAAATTCTGCGATGGGTTTTATTATTTATGAAAATAATTAAATTTCTAAAAATAATTTTACTTTTTTTAAACATAATTGAATTTCTGCAAAGGATTTTATTACTCTTAAAAACAATTGAATTTCTGTAATAAATCTGTAACTTCTCAAAAATTAAGTTATTTTTAGCATTAACCAAAATTTTTCTATAAATCCATTATTTTTAATAATTTTTGAAAAAGATTTTTGGGAATTTCCAAATTCATTTTTTTATAACTGAAATTCATTTTTAAATCAATTCTTATTAGTAAATTATACTAGAATTCAATTATTTAAATACAAAAAAATAATTTATTGAATATTTGAATGTTTCTTAAAAATTAAAATTGAATTCTCATAAAGAATTTCATAGACAAATTTTTAAATAATTGAATTCGTTTGGCGAATTTCAATATAATTTTTAATAATAATTACATTTATCGAAGAATTCAATTAAAATTTCATTAAAAAATAATTGCAACTCTGCGATGAGTTTTACTATTTGTGAAAATTATTGAATTCCTAAAAAGAATTTTATTATTTAGAATAATAATTAAATCCCTGTAATAATTTTATTATTTATAAAAATAATTGAATTATATTTACTATTTTATGAAAATAATTAAATGTTTGCGTAGAATTTTATTAAAAAAATTTTGAAATACTTGAATTGTTTTGGAAAATTTTATTCAAATAGTAGATATATATTGAAAATCATTGAATTGAGTAAAATTTTTGAAAATAATTAAATGTTTGCTTACTATTTTTTGAGAATTTGAAATTGATTTGAAAATAATTGAACTTTGGAGAAGAATTTTATTATTTATAAAGATAATTGAAATTTTGATGAGAATTTAAAAAAAATTTTGAACATAATTGAATTTTTGCGAAGAATATTATTATTTTTGAAAATAATTGAATTTGTACAATTATTTGTAATTTCTCCAAAATTCTCCAAATTATATCGTACAATTTACAATTTTTTCGAGCCGTATAAGTAATCATATAATATAATGTTAAAAGAATTATTTCACGAAATTTATTTTCTTTCTAATTAAAAATCACTAAAATTTAGTAGAATCCATGTAGAAATTCTATGGAATTGTTCTAGTGAAATTCTATAGAATATTCATTAGAATTCATATAGAATGATTCTAGTGAAATTCTATAGAACTTTTTCGAATGGGAATATGTACTCTCTAAACTTGAATTAGTAAAAATGTTTACTAATTTAAATTAGTGGCTGACTTTTTGCTTTTGAATTAGTAAATTCAATTTATTTTACTAATAAATAGTAATTTCTACTAAATTTTTGGTAAAACTTACTAAATCAAAAGCAAAAAGTCAGTCACTAATTGAAATTAGTAAAGATTTTTAATTTTTTACTAATTAAAATTTAGAGAGTAGAGAGAACATTAATAATCAACAGAAATGAAAGAATTAAAATTTATTTTTTTCTTTCTTTAATTTCGTAAGAAATTTTTTTTTTATTCACACTTCTTTATTTATGTTTATTTATATATTTCTTTTTTTCCACTATTTAGAAATGAAATACAGTTTTATCATTAAACTAGAGTTCGAAATGAGGCTGATGAAAGATGAAAGTTGAACAAAAGTGTACGCGCGTTAATTAAACTACCCCTAAGAGAAAAAGACAGTGATATATTCACGTTTGCGGTATTATATACATATATATGTTATATACGCTAAAAGTGCACGGTAACATAAAGTTCTTTCATTCATCGTGACATGAAAATACTAACAACTGGTATTCAACACACTAAGAGGTATCACAATTCTCGATGAGATTCTGTACAGGTGCAGCAAAGTTCGCCACAATTGTTGTAGCTTCCATTGTTGCATCACAAGTTGCTTCCGTTATTTTCTCTCTCACTCTCTCCCACCGTCTCTCTCTCTCTCTCTCTCTTTTTCTCTCTCAAGGTGCACTATAATAAGAAAGCTCTCGTCGTTGTAATCGAGAGGTACGTTCGCGCAATGCTCTTCATTTCTCACCTGAAAACTTTCCACCTCAATCCATCTCTCATAAGAAAAGAAACTTGGCGAGAAAAAAGTAATCAAAAAAAAAAAGAATATCTTTTCCTCCTTTCTTACAAAGTGCAATGATAATAATAATAATAATGATAATGATAACAATAACCAGGTGTAAATTAGTTGCTATTTCGTTACGGATAATTGTCTTTTTGAAAATGAAATGAAGAGAGAGATAAAAAAAAGAAGTTATACCCCTTTTAGAGAACGACAGAAGCACACTGGAAATATAAATCAGTTTGGGATTCGAGACGCTTCGGGTGCAATAATGCAAGAAGAATCCAATGAGTTTTCGTCGACATTCGAACCGTGAAGTACAACCTTTACCGCCTTGGATCACTCGCCATCCATGACATCGAATCGAATCGCAGACCTTAATTTACGATCCGCATAGAAACCTACTTTGGTATGCAAAGGAGACTCTCTTCGTCTTTGAATTACATTCGAACTCGTGCCAACCACCCATATCACTCCTTCAAACTGTTGAGAGAGAGAGAGAGAGAGAAAAAAAGAAAAAATGCATTTCTTTCTTAATAAACTGCTGGAAAAATTGTTCCCCAACTTTCTTTGTTTTTTTCTTCTTCATCTTCTTCTTTGAATTTCCCACTTGAATCGATCAAAAGTTGATGAGTTAACCTTCGTGGTAACAGGAATTATTTTTCACCAAGACTATTAGGTTCTAGGATAGTCAAAACATCTTTTTTTCTTTGTATATTGCAGAAAGGAGTAAAATTCATCGAAAAAGTGATTATCAAAAAAAAGACCTTTAATGCCATCGCAGGGTCTCCTGATAGTACACTGGAAAAAAAATTTCTTTGATTCAAATAAACGATTACTTGACTATTATTTATTAAATAATTACTTGAATCAAATAATATTTATTCGAGTCAATTTATTGGTTTTCAATTAATTGGTTCAATTTATATTTGAACCAATAATTTCAGTATTTGAAGTAAATATGAACTGAACCATTTAATTGATTTTAATAAATATTATTAGATTCAATTAAATATTTAATTGACAATAGTGAAGTAATCAGTTTATTTAAACCAAATAAATTTTTTCTTCAGTGTACGAACAGGGTTGCGACAGTTGAAGGAAATTCAGGGAAAAATCGGGAAAAGTAAAATTGAACAGGGAATTTTATCAAAAGTACTGGGAAAAATATTCAATTTCAAGAATTGATGAGAAAATTTTAAATATTGTTGTCCAGCAAACTTTAAAAATATTGAAAAGTAATTAATTTTAAATTCTTTCTAACAATAAATTCAACTTTACAGATTTGAAATAGAATTTATTTTAAATAATTTAATTCTTGAAAAACTATTGAAAAACTATTTAAAAAATATTCAAAAAATATTATTTACAAATAATTAATAATTAAAATATAAATAACTGTTTTGCGAATATTTTTTTTTCAAAATTCAAAAAATAATTGAATTTTATAAAAGTTGCGCTTTCAATTTTTATAAATAATATAAACAACTATAGCAAAAGTTATGCGCGAAACGCAGTATTTAATTTTTATATATTATTATGTAAATTACAAAATTTTTTATTTGCAAACATCAATTTTAATTTTCAAATTATTTCAGATTGGAAATTTTAAAATATTCACAACTTTAGTAAAATTCTTGAAAACAATTTAATTTTGCCATTTGGAAGAAAGAATTATTATTTATTATGGAAATATTTTT